TGTATCTCTCTGGTCAAAGGAATATGAATATCCTTCCGTTGATAATGGTTATGAATTTCAACTGAGGATAACAAATGTTTCAACAACTGATATTGGCTATTATACATGCTCTGTAGATGTCCCAATGGAGTTCCGGGTATCCCGTAAGTACTTATGCTAATAACGACAACTGCACATTCATTGTTATAGAACACGATAAAGGAAATTTCAATCTGTGCGTTATTTTAAAAGAGAAAAGGAAGATACTAAAAAGATATTTCCAAGTGGTGAAGTTAAATTATCCCTTCGTAAGTTTTACAGACGCCATCACGAGTTGGTTGTCCGTTATGAAATATCCGTTCCACAGATATAACGAATATGTTCCTAATGTCGTAACTACAATCCCGTCCCCTTTTCCCGAATGTGATCTACCGAATTAGACTTATTACCGTTGTACTAACTTGAGCAACATGACGGGTGCCACATGTGGAACAGGATCTGCTTACCCTACTGGAGCACCTGAGATCAACCCCATTTTTTTGGTGGGTTCATGTTGCTCAGTCTTTAGTTTTCTATGTTGTGTTTTGTGTACTATTGTCTGTCTGTTTGTCTTTTTCTTTTTTAGCCATGACGTTGTCAGTTTATTTTCAACTTATGAGTTTGAATGTCCCTCTGGTATCTTTCGCCTCTCTCTTAAACTCATAAGTCGAAAACGAACTGACAATACCATGAAAAAAAAAAACAAAAAACAAAAAACAAAAAACAAGAAAAACAACAGTATACAAAACACAACATAGACAGTTACGAAAGACTGAGCAACACGAACCCCACTTAAACAGGGGTGATCTCAGGTTCTTCAGGGACCGGTAACAAGAAGCGGTCTACTGTCTTACGAACGTCTAAAGAGCGTCTTACGATTTAAGAGTGTAACAAGACCCAACCTCAGACCTATCTTAGAATGATTGACAGCCCTTAATGTTTTGTAAAAGTGCATGATTTAAGAACGATTCTTAAGTCTACCTTAAAGCGATCTTACTAATTCCGATTACACAAAATCATTCTTAAATTTTGGTCAGTTATTAAGTTTTCTTAAAACAAACTTAGCGACTTAGAGGTGTACCAAGAACAATTCGCAATAGCTTCTCTTGATATTTTTTTGTGGTCCCGACTACTCTTAGCTGCACATTCACTCGTTAATAATCGAATAAAATGGTGTTGTTACTAATGTACAACTGAAAAAACGTGTACAACAGCAAGAGTTCACAAGAAGATTGTTCAGAGATTGAACAAATTCATCGGATTTTATGACAGACCAACAAATAATAAAGTCTTATCTTTAAAGTTTATATGTTTAAAGAAAATAAAGAAAACCGAGAATCTGTCACCCTCTCAGCTATGTGTTATTTAATGTATTATACTGAATGTTCCATCATTATTGTCTTTAACTGTTAGATTCTAAATTGAAAGTAGTTGATTTGACTATGACGTCACGTACATAACAACGTTACACTTATTAGAAAAACAACAACTAGAAGTAAAGCAAAATGTTTTTTTTATTTCTAATATTTTGGCAGTCTATGAAAAAGTTCTGAAGCCAAAACTTAGAACTTTGTCTTTAATTTGTCGATGTAAATTCAATTCATTGTCCTTTAACCCTTACAATGCCAAGACCAAATTTCAAAATTGCCAAGACGTTAGAAACGTAACAATACTTCGACGTCACCGATAAATTTCAGATTTTCAACGTTGACGTTCCTACCGCATGTGTTACTCTTCTTCATGCATAGGACGCAGACTATTTATTTATTGCATGCTGTGGCGGTTAATGATGGTTAAGGATATTTAGGGGGAGGAGCTCTCAATAGAACTCTTGTGTCCAGCTCCTGCTCCACATGTGTCGACCGTTGTGTTGCTCATCTAAGTACAAACACGGTGATAGATCTAATTTGGTAGGTTACATTCGAGAAAAGGAGAAAGGGATTATAGGGACGTTGTTGATCTGCAGATAGTACTATTGACATAATTTGCCAATTTGTATTCAAATAAATGTAAGTATTTGAAACAAAGAACGAGATAAAATAATAGTTAAACTTACAGAACTGCCAAAAAGAAGTGCACACTACAAAATGAAGTGTTAAAAAAGTAGTATAGAAAAAACTTGTATCAAAATAAGGAAATGTTGTACGACAACTATCGTCAAAAGAACAAATAACGTGGACGAAAGCAACCGTAGGTTATATTACGGCCTTCAACAATAGGTATGCATTACCTCTTTCTTATGTTTTTCACAAATTGTAGATTTTTGATGATTTTCCCTCAGAAATATTAAGGTATATACCGATTAGTGATTCAATGGATTATGTTATGATGTCCTCACCAGTAGATATGTCTTGAGTTTTCAATTCAATACAATATATTTAAGACCTTACTACTTGTTCTGATTTTGCAAAAGCTGTGAACTGATATAAAATCTCATCTAAAGCTACATGAAAGCCTTTCTTTTAAGCTGAACAGATGGCTGTAAAGAAAAACTTATTTTCATTTTATCTTCACAATGTCCAGTACTTGGATGTTAAAATCATTGTTCAGATGACGTATATACCCTTGCATTAACATTTGAGCACAAATAGCACATCACTTAATGACGGCGTCTAATTCCCACATGTTAAACTGAACTGAATACCAAAAGTCGAGTGCCTTAAGTGTTTGCTCTGAAATAAATAATATTCTACGAAAACAGTTCTCATTTTTTGGAATTGCAGTACACAAGTAGTATAGTCCGGACAGTACAAGCCTCAAACCTCGGACGCCGGACGCCGACGCTATATTTGTGCTTAGACGCCGACGCCATATAACTCCCTGAAATCGGGACGCGAACACCATATCTTAGGGTTGGACCATATACAACCTGACATCGGGACGTCGACGCCATAATTGGGCCTAAAACCTGGACGCGGACGCCGACGCCATAATTGGGCCTAAAACCTGGACGCGGACGCCGACGCCACATTTGACACTAAAATCGGGACGCGAACACCATACTTTAGAGTTGGACCATGTGACCTTGAAATCGGGACGCCGAATCCATATTTGAGCCTTAAATCGGGACGCGGACACCACACCCTAGTGTTGACAAGGATACCATCTGAGGTGGACACTATTAATGACGTCACACTCTTGAATGTGGATGCGAATTCTTCTAAGCTAAACGCTAACCCTTTAAACCCAACCCCTGGATAATAAGTCTGATAATTCTGAAAAGGAATAATTTCCACATCAACCTGGCGAGTTTCCATACACCACTTCCTTCGCCCGCTTAAGTTACACAGTGTCTTCGTACCAGAACAAGCTTTACTTTCATGGAAACTGTTCAGAGTAGACTTCAATGAAATTTAAACCACTTTAATAAGTAACTACTAAGACATGCTTATAACAACTGTAAGAATTCTCCAAGATACAATATTTATATTTAATCAGTTAATCAAATAAACTGTCACTCAATCCAGTAGGCGGTACTTCGAATAGATGCACGTGTTAAGATAATTGGATTAAAATGTTTGATATGATTTCATAAAATATGTTAAAAGGCATTACATATGCTACTTCAAAGAACTTAAGCAAAAAAACAAATTGGAAACAGGTTTATGAAATACATGTATTTTTAATTGTGCTGACAAATAGTCAGCAGTTAACTTAAATAAGCAATGAGAAGAGGCTGGTTGTTTATCTCTTTAATAATAAGTCTAAAAAAATCGTAAACATTCCGGCACACTATTGCTTTCGACTTCTTTGAAACACTTAATTAATATCATATGGTCATGATTAAAATTACACCCCCAAATAATTAGATAAAGAGATAAAGCACATCTGTTGGTTTAAAATAAGATATCCTTATACATTTTCTTTCATTGCTTGTATGCAGATGTGTACTATTTTAGCTAGTCCTACAATGTAATTAACGGACATAAGCAAGTTATAGAAATATTGTCTGTGTGACAAGTCTGCGGTCGTAATTGATTTTTATATTTAAAAATGCACGAATAATACAAAAATATTAAGAATAAAGAAATACGGGGTGCAAAAATATAAAGAAAAGAGAAGTTAAAATTCAAGAGTTTGATTATTCTGAAATGAATCTTCAACAAACTGATACATATATAAGTGTATATAGATTCTCGATCAAAAAAGAATGAAAAGTAGTTATTACTATAACAAAATACATGGAACACATTCATTCATTTATGTCAACTAAAAATTCAATTCAGGTAAAAACAGTAAATAGACAGACATCAACCGTACTTGATTAATATTAAATTGCTTAAAAAAGCACACATGAAAGTTGAAATGAAGCACTGAGAACAAATACTGTTCAATACATCAAGTTTTAATTGTTTACATTGTCATTTTGGAGGTGCATTTCTTTGGGATCCTGGATGAAAAGATCGTGCCGCTGTAGTATTGATCACACAGGGTTCATATAGTCGGTCCTGGGTCTGCCTATTGTGTGATGTAAAATCAGCAACTAATGATATATCAATCATCAATAAATTTATTTTTCGGAAGAAGATTTCAACGTGCAAAAAGTCCTATGAACTTGGGCGGAACTATAATCAACTGTCATACAAGTGGAAGTTTTGCGTCGGCAATAAAACCAGGTTTAACCCACTATTTTCTGCGGAAATCAGGAATATGACATTTGTTTACCATTCGTTCCGTTGGGTGATTAAGTCTAACAGATGATTTTGTCAGTTTGTATTGACTTCCACTTTTTTAATTTACCTTGGAGTTCGGTATTTTTTGTTATACTTTTTTATTTAACACTTCAATCGTCAAATCTAACAAAAAAAAATGTTATTTAGTCATAACTAAAAAGTCAAATAGTACAGTGAGAAAACGACATACACCAGAATATACAGTTTTATTTTTTGAATGATACTAACGCAGACTGTTTCTTCTCTTCATGTGATATTAAAAGTTCTTGAATATGCAAACCCCCATAACTTATCCTAGGATGATTCTATTTCAGGAACATTGAAAACTTCAAAACAAATTAACAGAAATTAACACTTTCCGAATTGACCTTCATCACGAAAACAAGATATGATTGGTTGATTGAATGTACATATTGAAAAAGAAACCAATTATTGAGTCAATACAAGACATTAAACTTTTGGGGATATGTTCTTCTGGAAAGGGCAGAGATAAAACAGAAAGCGTTGACATTTGAGTAACATTAATAGTAAAATAAATATTCTCATTCTTGAAATTTGTAGCAATACGATTTCTTGACCAGAACGACGACAATATCATATATGGACAAGAAGGAAAGACTATGAATATATCATGTGCTACTATAACAGGATACGACGTCCAGAAGATGTTAATAGAAGAAAACTTAATCATATTAACAGAAAGTAACAGTAACATGGTGACTTTCTCTTTCACACCGGATAGACAAGATAAATCCAAAGAGTTTGTATGTAAGAGTAAACCAAACTGGTTATATGTCAGGGTTAATGTGCTAGTCAACTGTAAGTATCATATGCAATAGTCTAAATACATTGATATATTATCCCTAATTGTATTAAACGATGTAACAACTGATTTATTTGATAATTACACTTACCTTTAAAAGCTTAAAGCTTGTAGAAAATTCATTTCGTTCTTTTGCATTTTTAAGGGATGGCATACTTTAAATTTATTCATAATGGTAAAATTCAATGTCAATGCTCCCTGCGCATATGTTTTCTAACTATTGTGTAAGGAACGCTCGAGATATAATTTTTTCAGTTTAGATTCATATGTGTGATTTCCAGGATGATTAGATGATATAACTGAATATCCAATTTGATATTATGTGTATTGAAAAGTCAAGCACACAAAATGTTTAAAGGAAAGAATCTTAATGAAACTGTCATCAACGATCATTTTTGCCTAAATTTGTTTTTAAGAAAATAGCAACATTTGGGAAGTATAAAAATTGTCAGACCACTTTTAAAACGAGATAATGTCACTAAATGATACTAATGTTTTAACGATATTGGATAGTACGTTAAAAAACTAAATGGATATAGATAAATCGTAAACAGCGATAATGAACAGCCGGACAAGATGTACAAATAATTGGAAATATTTAGTTGATTCCTGATAGAAGTATTGGTTCTTTAGAGATGATTTGTACCATTTTGGTCGTTCTTGGCTAAGTCAATCCTTGAAACTATAATAGAGAAATAGATACTGTTATAGAAACAGTTATTGTCAAGACAAGAGGTATAAAAAGTAATACGGTCGGATTTGTGACGTTCATGTGAAAAGCGGCTTGTGTAATTGTCGAACAGGAATATAAAACCCCGACGCTTGTTGTTTTTATTATAAATCTTAACCACTACAATTAGTGTCTTTTACTGATATTTGTAATTTTTTTCGGGGAAAGGGGGAGGGATGGAGCGGTTCCCATAAATTGGTTATCATTCTTCCACTGATAATTGTTGTAATTGCTCCATTATATCTACCTTCTTTTTTGACAGTTCTTACTCTGACGAAGTAACGCCCACTCTAATACGTTACATGTATGTGTTTGAATATATCTCAATGATGTTTCATTTTAAAACCTCTTGATTTGCATTTTATTCCTAGACATACTTATATATAGATGGAAATTTTCTTCACTTATTAACTTTATGTCTGCACTTTATGAATGTAATTGCATTGTAGATTCACCTGATGTAGAACTGTTAATCGGAGTAAATAGAATTGACTGTTTTCCTGACGGTTTCCCGGACACGTACACATTTTACAGATGGGAACATCAATCAGAACTAGGAGAACACATTCGTTTCATAAACGGCTTAGGAAATGGGACATTGATTCTTCAGACACTTCCACAACGATATCAGATTAGCGGTATATATGTTTGCACTGTTAGCAACGGTATACCTGATACGAATGGTAGCAAGTTTCAAAAAGGTTTTACAAGTTTCAATTATGAAGGTGAGACAACTACACGGTTTACAGGAAGACGTTTTTTTATTTTTCTACCCCGATATTCATACATTCAAACGTGCTATAAGGGTCACCTCTAGTTAGAGAAAGAATGCCTTGTCGGGTAGTCCTCCTTTTCTCCTGCTGTAGTACAACCTAAAAATTTTGAACGTCATCTTGAATGTCACCCATCTAACATCATGTATAAGTTCAGAGTTCACTAATCTTGATGGTGAACTTTCAACAGAGTTTGACTACTGTCATTCGAAAAGTAATAAAATGGAAATGACATACTTATACTTATAGCAACAAATATTATGTCAATGACACAATATAAGAGTGAAAATTAATTCAAATGTGTAGCACATTGTAAGAAATTTTGCCTTTTAATTTGAAAGATCATAATGCTTTGAGATATAAATCTATATTTGATTAATGATAACAAAAACAATGTTTATCCAATATTAGAAAAAATGATTTTGAGGAGTATTGGTCTGTCAGCCTATGATATTATTAAAGTGTGTACTTCACGTCACAGCAAAATAGATAATGTCACCTATTTTTGTAAGATTTTGCATACAACTGTGTTTTGTTAAGCTAGAACTAAAAAGAACATTATCATATCTGTGAAAATTTTGGAAAAATGAAGAAAACACCATGATGTAACATTTCAAATTTTTATTGAGAAATTCAAAAATATAAAAACTGCTGTACTTTTGAGTCTTTTTATTTTTGCGATGAAATTTTAAGTGGTAATGTGAAATTTTTCAATGGATTTCAAGTTACAATTTTGAAAACAATATTAGAAATGCTACAATGGTAATGAAATAAGTTTTGTTTACTTTCTTTGACGATAAATCGAACAAGATGTTTAAATATGCACTGTTTGAATATGCATTTTGTATAAAATAAAACAATATTCTGTAAAACTTTCACTTTTCTTTTTTCAATTTTTGTATCAATGTTAAGAAATGACCTACATTTTATATTGACTTCTTTTCAAGTTGTCTAGCTATTAAAGTAAATATAACTGTTCCAAATTCGTTTTTTAATCTTCCAGTTAGTACTGATATATGGAAATTTAAGGATTGTCCAAGTGTTCTTTTTATAGATGTACGAACACTTTAAATTATTGAGCAATTCTAAATGTTCCATTTCGACAACAAGAATAAAATAAGTTTGGCGTAATAATACACGGTTTATTTTGACATATTTGTGGTGCTGTACATAATAAATATAACCCATTGCTCATGGTTTATACAAAATATCGTTCATTTTGAAAACATGTGTCCTTTTCTGCTTGCTTTTCTGATTATAATACAGACGTTGAAAATTATTGTATTCCATCCCCCTAATTTCGACGATTAAATTCTGCTGTTTTGATTTACAGGTCCACCTCTATTTGTTCCCGAAAACAGAAATGTTAAGTTTGTCGAACTGTATCAGCCTATTACAGTGACATTTCTCATATTCAGTAACCCTATTGTAGACGAAATATGGATTGAAGCTGTCGCTGCTCGATATACGATAAATGAAACAATACATGATTTTAGAATTTCTGAAATTGAGCTGTCTTACTCGGAATTTAAAAACAGAGGAAATATCAAAGGCAATCAAATTGCATTTGATTTCAAAATGTTCAGCAATGAATATGAAATGTACAAAATATGGACAAAAAATGGACAAGGAGAAGATTCTTTTAGTTTCAATATCCAAGCTGTTGGTAAGATAATCCTAAAGATGTAATTTGAAATAATGAAGTCATTGATTTGTTTGACCTGGGATGTATTTTTAATGATTTGAACAACCATACCTGAGAAAATTTCAAACATAAGTACCAAACGGTCAATTTAAGTGAAATGTCAATACGCAAGTCCAACTCAACGAGAAATAGTTGACCTAAGGTTAATTTGGCATTTCATACAATTCATATAGCTCCTCAAGTATTTTAGAATCCTTCATATCTTTTTTCTTCATTGTTGCCTTAAGGCATTCCAGTAAAAGTGATTTAGATACACCAAATTGATATATAAAGTTTTAGGTTGATTAACATAAGAAATATTGCTATTGCTATTTCTGCAGTAAATTTGATATTGAGATTAGATTTGACCAATTTAGGAAATTTAACTCATAGAATTCTAAATTGATATTTGATACAGGTAAATGTAGCAACATGTACCTCACAAAACATTCAAAATAAACTAGGTGCTCTAACAGTGCAATTAGTCCCTGTTTAAAACACGTATTCGGAAAACGATATGCAATGAAACAATTAGTGAAGCACGATATAAGAGATAATCCAGGATGGAACAGTTATGTATGGAGTTCCAGAAATGAAGTTATGCAATCAAGATTGAATTTTGTTTAATATATCTTCTGTCTTCTTGAACCTCAAAATGCCTAATATGTCTATAGTAAACATAATAAAAGCATCGCTGACATTATCTGTTGGTACATGTGTATATTTTGGTCATTAAAATAAGCCCTCCTATTATTAGTTTACTAATTTTTCCCATCTCACTGTAAAAATGTATGGCATATTTACTATTATGTTCTGCTCATAAAATGAAAATGAAAATTGAAATATCCAGAAACTTGCAGACAGAAATAATCAATGTTTTGAATATCTCTTTCTTTTCCAAATCATAATTAATAGTATCCCCTGTGTCCGCGCGGTTGGTGTTATCGCACATTTCATGATTTCGTCATATCCGTTATGTTACATAAAAAGAATCATTCTTCTACTTGTCCAAGCCTTCCGAAGGGACAGAAAAAGATTAAAATTGATAAGTTCAAGCATAAATGTATAACTGTATTCCCATGATTAACCATATTTAACCATTTTCATAAAAATTATGACATTATTAGAAAAAAATGGATTCATTTAACTGCAATTTGTATCAAAGTGTAAAAAACTTTTTCTCCGCATCCTTGGCAGTCTGTTTGGTTCTAGAACAGTACATGAAAGGTTTCATCAGTTCTGTAGCCAGTGTTTTGGTGTTTACATAATTTATAACATATCTTTTTAGATTCTCCCTGGCTAACTACAGAAATTATTGAGAAACTATGATTCCATCTCACTTAGGTAAAGCTGACCCTAGATTGATCTATCTATTCATTTTGCACCAATTTGGTTGCACAGTTCCTCGCGTTTTCAAGTAGTACATTAGAGATTTTCTAATTTTGGATTGAGTGTTCCTTTTGAAGATAAATCGAGAAAAACGCTTCAATCGCACCAAATGTATAGGATATAAGTTTCCAATCATATAAAGTTCCTATAAAGGCTACCAAAGGGGAACTTAGTTTAACAAAGGACCCTATGTAAAATACATACAAAAGTCTTCTTTTGAAGAACCACTTAATGGAATGAAACCAAACATGGCATGAATGTTCCTTATGAGGTGCTGACCAAGTGTTGTTACTTTGTAGCAAATTCATAAACCAAGATGGCTGCCAGTGGGGGGACTTAGTTTAACAAAGGACCCTATGGGAAATATATACAAATGTCTTCTTCTAGAAAAACCGCTTAATGGATTGAAACCAAACATGGTATGAATGTTTCTTTAGAGGTAATGACCCAGTGTTGTTACTTTGTAGCTGATTTGTCATCCAAGATGGCTGCCAGCAGGGGGAGTAAGTTTAACATAGGACCCTATGGGAAATACATACAAATATTTTCTTCTAGAGAACCGCTGAATAGAATGAAACCAAACATGGCATGAATGTTCCTAATGAGCTGCTGACTAAGTGTTGTTACTTTGTAGCCGAACCATCATCCAATATGGCCACCAGCAGGGGACTTAGTTTAACATAAGACCCTTTTGGAAATACATACCCCCAAGATTTTTTATTAATTACGGGGCCAACATTAAACCAAATTTGGCCTCAATCATTATTAGGGTATCTGTTATGATTTAAATCTATTTTTATATGATTTTCAAAACCAAAGTAGAATCAGGTGAGCCTCTAGTTAAATGTGTTTTCCTCTTTCCAATAATCATTAAATTTATCACCAATAGTGTTTATCATTTCATCCTTTCATGTAGCAATTCTAAAACAAAACCTTGAGCATGTTCAATTTTATTGCAGGTGCGCCAATATTTGTACCTGAAAACAGAAATGTCAAGCATGGTAAGCTTGGTGAACATTTAACACTGACATTTCTCCTATACAGTGATCCTCTGGTAGATGACATATGGATTAAAAGCGTCGGAACTGATCGTAACCAAAGTGGAACAAAACATGAGTTCAGGATTTCAAACACAAATTTGTCGTATACGGCTTCTGGAAACAAAGGAAATATCAGTGGATATGAAATTACAATTGAAACAAACATTTTGAACAGTAAAGACTTCTGCGTGTATAAAATATGGGCAGAAAATAAATTGGGAGTAGCTTCTTACAGATTTGAAATCATAGCAGTTGGTAATATAACTTTAACAAATTGTTTTAGTAATTGCAGATCTTTCAGTTACACTCTATGTAATATAACAAAGGAGGTGCGGTATGATTTAAAGACAACAATTCAACAGAGTCCAACGGATTTAAGCAACTAGAGGTCAATGTAAGGCTCAGTGTAAGGCCTTCAAAAATGAACAAAGCCAATGAATGAAAATATATGATATGGTTTTCTATATATGCTGTGTTAAAGAGAACAAAACATACTGTATGTTAAGTTGTTAACAAATGTATCTAACGTTTAATTTTTGTCAATAATTGCAAAATGCATTCCTTGTTATAACCGATACAAATACCCCCAAAGCCATCTAAGGGGCAACTCCTCATCTAGAAAAGTATTTAATGAAATTTGACAAAATTGTCATTTTTTACCCGAGTATTAATATCTTTTGATTGTTTTAATGATAGTTTATTTCATACCAAAAGTAATCCAGAATATAGGTATATAAGAAATATGTACATGAACATTATAACAGAAAATTTAAAATACAATAAAAGTGATAGTTTTTGAAGGATTGAGCGCCTAAACAATCTGCACATGATTGTTACCATATCTCTTTAGATGTTGAATATTCCCGTTGATGAGGCTGTAATAAACAGAAACACATCCCAGTTCCAGGATTTCGTATGGCTGATCTCGCCATTATCATTTAATGGAGTTATTTTTGTGTATTGAAAGGTCGTCTTTAGTGACTAATATGTCTAGTCTCGAACGAAGTTTAAATAATTCAGAGGATTGTCATGAACACATTGTAGCTCTGCCGAGTTTCAATATCATAGTTAAAAACTTACATTTTGTTCATCAGTTATTGTTTTCTTTTCGAAAGGTCACCAAAGAAGTTTTTTCTCGCAAATCTATATTTAAAATGCTTATACTAATGTCATAATGAAATTATCTATCAAAATAAGTCGTTAAAAAAATTTCTGTTTCAAATGTTGTTCTATTTGTTTTTTAGAATCTCAAAAATGGAACGAAATAAACAATAACGACAACTTTAAGGAAATAACTCGATTTATAACAATTAGCACCATAGCCACCTGTTTGTTGGTCTATATAGTCGTGAATCACATCTGCATTTGTGTCCGACAGAGAACAAAACGAACCAGGCGAAGTAATGTACCAGTGTCCTTGCTTGAAGACATGTACGATGAAATAGGAACCATTTCCTATCAAGCTGCCAACATTAGTCAGTTAGCTACTGAGCAACCAGAACGGATCCAGCAATTCAGAAGGATTCGTAGTCCTCAACCAGAATCAAGAACAGCAAATTTGAACAATCAACTTTCTATGGACCGTACTTTTAATACATCTTCACGATTATCCGTTCAAGAATATCAGGTTAATGCATTGCATCCAAACAATATGTTTGGAGCAACAAGTAATGTGTCGCCTGTGTTAGCTACGGAGGATATTGTTCACATTAACGGAAGCTACGATATTGATCCGTCAGGTGAATCATCCCAGGAATTTCAAAGTGGAAGACATCAATATGAGCATTCGTCAAACAGTAACAGAACAACAACAATTTCATCAAGCAGTGACGAATCAAGAATTGAATCAAGTGGTACAACACTAGTGGGTTTAGATATCGATGAAGGATACGAAAACCCATACCAAATAGTAATACGAGAAGAACAGGACAGTCATAAGTATAGTTATCTAACCAAGCAGTCCGAGACAATTGATAATGATAGCTCATTATCTGACACTGCGGAACTATCTAGAAATAATCGCGACTATGTCAATCTTCGATTGTAATTGTAAAAAATGAATTTCATTCGTCCAAAGCGATTTTCTAAATTGATTATCATCAAGAACACCAATACACAAGTATTTAAAATCAAAAATAAGGAATTCAAATTCTATTAAGTGTACAATATATATGATATAGTTTCTTTAAAATGACTTCAGTCAAAAGAAAAATTAAGATAATTGTACTCTTATTATGAATAATTACGATTTAAAATTAAGTCTTTATGACTAACTATTATGTATATATTGTGTTAATCACTGCTAGCCTTACGGTGACTCATATTTGTTTACATCATTGTATTAATAGCTATCCCATTGACAATCCTTCAACATATCCTTTTTTTCTTATTTTGTTTAGCATCGAGGTTAATACAGGTTTATTTCAAATACAGTAAATCTTTTATTTTATATTGTGTGAATTATATGTTTTCTATTTTGAATTTTACAGGAAAGTAGATTCCTTCAGATTTATTTTCGTTGTATTACATTTGATTTAACCAATTGGTTTTTTCTGAATAAAAAAAATCTTTAAATTTGTTATTTTGTCTTTTTTTTTCAATTATAAACTAGATAGAATTAAGATTTTTTTTGTAAAGTACCTGTTCACAAATTGTTGCAAATAAATGAAATGCTGCAATGTTGATGCTTTCATATATAATATTCTCCTAATACACCCAGAGCCAGATAGGGTCAAAGATATATAATAAACAATGGGCTGTATTCTATTTAGTGGATTTATGCTTGAAGTGAAAAAAAGGATATGTTGTACCAATTTGATTGAAATCACCACACGCACATAAAATACAACAAAAATATCAAAGTAACGGCATGTTTACTGATGTCCTTCATCACCAATTGTCACGAATGATAGAAGAACATAATATGAACGTTTGATGCCCATTATCATGCCCATAGAATTAGTTCATTCATTTTTTATGATACCATGAATTTTGGGAATGAAATGCGTTGAATTTATAATGATCGGGACAGAAAAGACTTGAATGGAACAATTAAAATTAAAAGACACCTTTATGCTATGGAGTTGTAATTAATCGACACATAAAGAAAAACAACAAACAAAATTATGTATTGCAGTTTTAACGATAATTATACCAAATTTGTAAGTTGCTCATACCACATATTTCCGTATATATGAATCAAAGTACATTTAAGGAAAACGTCAATGCGACATACATAGATTAATTTACCATCTTTAACAACTGCAATTACTTTTAGTTATATCTACTTACATGTACAAACGTTTATTTGCTTACGAACTTGCGATCTGATGTCTCACTTAAGGTTGCAGTTCTGTAAATATAAGCAATGCAATTTCCCAGGAACTCCTTTTACGGCTAAAACTGTGCCCCTTTTACTATGTAGTTTCGTAAAAAAACATATCCTAGAATGGGAAGTTCATATGCAGAACTATTTGTTCAACATTTATATGCCTCGAGCTTCTAAGAGTTTAAACTTATACTAAAATTCTGTACTACTCCTCTCTTCACTTTGGGTCTCCCTCAGAATTCAATTTGGCCGCTATCAAAGTGTATTTATACTGGTAACATTCCCAAGTTATTTCTCTATGAGACGAAACATTGAGATCATATATGGGAACCAGTATATTAACAAAACAAAATATCTATGAATTTTATATATCTCCCCAAAAGAGTCGTGGTTTGCGAAACAGTTGTATGTACATAGTGTAATCTTAAAGGGCAGGCAACCTTTAAAAATGCTATCAACAAAAAATAAGATCAGTTAAGAACGTAAACTGCACAAACTTCTTAAAACTGCCCTGGTGTCATGAGGCAATTTAAAACATGACCTTGTGACCTAATTAGTAGTATGGATAAAAGAAGATGTTGAAATAACGTTAAAGTGGTATTCAGCCAACAACAACAATGAGCATAAACCATTTAGACGACAACATACAGTTATCGACAATATCCAGTTGTTTAAATAATATGCCAAGCTCTAAATTGTCCAGATGTATTTTATATTCTATAAAATATATAAAAGTTTTGAATAATTTAAAAAGAAACAATCAAAGATCTGCTAGCAATACGTAAGATCCTAATTTATGAACAAGCATTTTCATTTACAAAGTAATAGGTGTTCCGTATTAGCTGTAGCAGTATTTGAAACTATTGATAGATTGATTGTTGTTCAACGTCCAGATAAGTTACTTGCGGCTGATTTCAAAAATATATGGTCACTTATGGTCACTTCCGGTTGTCATTTTCAAGGTCATTTGTATTCTTACCAAATGCAAAGGACCCTATGGCTTTATCATATACCATGTATCAATATGAAGTTATAACAAAGGTCAAAATCCATAAGACAAATTAGGCTGTGACCTTAGCCTTAATTTAAAGGTCATATAACAAGAACCTTAAATAAAAAAACCTTGGTTCTCTTCTGTGTATGGTAAATGATATATATCCCCATCAAGCTAATTTGAAGCATGAGAGGGGGGAAAGCTCTATAAATATTAACGTACCCTTTCAGCGAATACTTATAAGCTACGACATATCGCAGCTAAACATTTAGTAAACAGATTTTGTTAATATCTTATACGGTTTCCACCGTGAGTAGCGATACTGAGCAAAAGTCTAAATTTAGACCATTACCTTAAATCTAAATACCTATGGTCTCTATCACTTACGTTTTATCAGTTACATTTATATATCACTTATGTCAAATACAGAAGAGTAAATAACTCTCATACGGAGTCTTCGTATCGCTTCTAACATAATTGAACATAACATCCTGTAGGTTTAAAGAGCAATTTGGAAAAATAAAATTGTTGATTTTTTTTTGCAGTTGCGAACAAGTTGTGCATTCAAGACAAACAGTGTAAGGGAAGATAACTCTTACAAACAAAATTGTTCGGTTTAGCAGAGTCAAAATCAAAAGCGCATAAAATGTACGATAACGCATACCAATAAATCGAAATGAAAAAATTACACGCAAGATAAAAATTTGGCGGAAGAAAACAAATATTATAATCAGAACAAAATCAAAAGGTCTTTCCAGGTAAATGTGGAAAGACCCAATGAACCGTTTAGCACAAGTTTTCAAGAAATGATACAATTTTCCAATTGTATTTAGACTTTTTGTCCTGTCTGATCATGTTTGGATGATAATTTAGTTTTTTTAAGAGTATCAGGTTTACTGTAAAGTTCAAACGAAATTAAGTCAATGCTAGATTTTTTTCCTAGACGTTAGTACAATCACGATACTCCCAAATACATAAAAGAAGTTATATTAACACAAATAAAGGCAACAGTAGTATACCGCTGTTCGAAATTCATAAATCGATTGAGAAAAAACAAATCCGGGTTACAAACTAAAACTGAGAGAAACACATCAAATATAAGAGGAGAACAAAGACACAACAGAAACACTAAAATGCAACACACACACAAACGAACTATAAGATAACAATAGTCATTTTCCTGACTTGGTACAGGACATTTTAAGAAAAAAATGGTGGGTTGAACCTAATTTTGTGGCTAGCCAAACCTCCCGCTTTAACGGCAATGTTAAATATAACACTAAAATGACAACATTATATGACAGGACTACAATACAAATAATGGAAGAACATACAGGACAGAAAAACACACAAATAAACAATACAATAGAACATTACGACAAGCTAATAGTTATCAAAGGTGCCAAGCCTAAAGATGAAGAGCATTGATGACCCAAAATTCCAAAAAGTTGTGCCAAATACGGCTAGGTTATCTGCCTGGGATAAGAAAATATTTAGTATATAGAATGAATTATATTTTTGAAAACAATAAATTTATAAAATGAACATATAATTGATATACATGTTAACACCGAAGTGGTGACTAATTACAGAATAAAAACGAATACGTAAAACAACCTTGATCAGCACATAAAAACAGCACAGCCGAACAACGCATTGTATGTCAGCCGAATAGATCGATGCACAAAAGTGACGTCACAGGTAAATTTTTAAAAAATTCCAAAAAATAGGATAGAGTTCAAGATTATGTTTGTAATACTGATATTACATGTATTTAATAACAATGAAAATTACAATACTGATTAATATAAAATTGTGTTAGTAATTAGATAACTAATTGTATATTCTAGCTATGTCGGTATTTCTTCTAAATCAAACTGAAACCAAATACATAGTGTAAGTTTACTTGACCAAAACTAAAATCTAATAAATGAACTGGGTGATAAATTATCTTTACACTCACACACGAATAGAACAGAAAAACGTATGAATTACAACTACAAACGATAAGACATTTGACAATAGCAAATATAACATCAAAACTAAATACAAGAATTTTGGATAGCAAAATAAAATACCGTGGCGCGTCTTATAGCAATGCGAATTCACACTCAGCAAAACCGTCACAATCGGGAATAGGTCACGTTCGGTACTTAAAACATCAGACGACATAATGGCAAACCACAATCTAAGACGTGGTAAAAATGTCCTTAGTTAGTTTGGACAAAGACACATCGTATGGATCAACCAATTCGTGATGGTGTTCATACAATTCACGGAGTGTCATTTTTAATCTTTCCTCCTCATAACTTTGTTGGAGCAGTTTCTGCGTAAGGAGCAAACTCCTGTATATGAAGTCCACAACACTGTTAAAAAATATATATCCATGTATCATTATTTTTGGCCATTTGGTCTTAGAATATCAGATGTCTCAATTGCAATCAGAAAACATCTCCATATTTTTATATGTACACTGTAAATACCAAAAACGCAGTACAAGTTGATAACCATAAAACTATAACAGTTGACCCCCATACCACAATGAAAGAAAACTCCACTACCACAATACCTGTGCACATCCATATCCACAATAAGACAGGACAAACATAACCGCAAAACCAGTCAATATCTGTGCCATAATAATTAATAGTCAACACCCAAATCCATAATAGTGGACATCAATAGCTGCAATAACATCGGGCACCCATACCAATAATACAAGTTGACATCCATACCCAAAATAACAGTTGAAACACATACCCAAAGTAACAGTTGAAACACATACCCAAAGTAACAGTTGAAAAACATACCCAAAGTAACAGTTGAAACACATACCCGCAACAACAGTGGACACCAAAACTACAATAAAAGAGGG